GGGGGGCACCTACGGCTTGACTGCGGCTGGGCTGAGTCCCATACACCGGCAGCGCGGGGCGCCGCGGCGGGCGCGGGCAACCACGGGAAGCGGCCTCGCCTGGGGACCGCGAGCACCCCCAAACACTGATCAAACATTTATGGCGCTCGGTTTGAGTTTTGAGCTGTGGACAACCTGCGAGTGAGGTAGACAAAGAGAGAGATGGGGGGGGCGGGACAGAGAGAGGGGGGGAGGGAGAGAGAGAGAGAGAGAGAGAGAGAGAGAGAGAGAGAGAGAGAGAGAAGACAAAGACAGGTACAGACAGAAAACGGCAGAGGTCCCACACGTAAACTCAGCATAACAAGCATAGCAATTTGTCTCCCGGGCTTCCCGTCCGCATAGAGTTCTCTCCGCACACGGATACAGACATACACCCTGTAAACGACCATTCCAAAGACTCGCGAAAATGAAATAATTTTGCTAGGGTCGGCCCTCTACCGCCCCCCCCCCCCCTCCTGGCTGACCTCCTGGTTGGCCACGCGCGAAATTGCCAATTCAGGTGATAAAGAGCTCATGAGCCCATACAGGGCCGCCGCCGCCGGCCGCTGACGTGACGGGGTGTAACATTGTAAGGGACGGGGATGGAAGGAGACGGACGATCTCCCCTCGGATTGAAGTTTTTGTTACAATGACTCTATCGATTAGGAAATGGGTTCGGATCCAACCACAATCGATTACGATTTAACAAAACGGGCGTTGTCGGTCGCCGGAGGGTGTGGGGGCTCTGTGCTCTGTAGGGTGGTCAAGAAAGGAAAAGGAGAGGGGGAGGGAGAAGTAAGAGCAAACGGGGAGGAGGAAATAATTTATTAGAAAAAGCTAAGCGTCTTCTTCCTTTTGACTAATCATTCGAATTAATTACATATAAATCATGGGATTAGTCTGAAACGAGGAGAAGGAGAAAAGCGGCACCGCAGGCCCCTTCCCTTCCGCCCCTTCCTTGAGAGCCAATAGCACAGTCGTCGCGTCGCCCCGTCCTACCTGCACATCCTTCTTCTGCAGCAGGAGACGGAGGAACGAGAACGTATCAGAGGTATCAGATCACTGCGGTTCGGTCACCGTCAGAGCACCCATCCCATCTCACTGGGCGTAGTGTGTGTCTGTGTGTGTGTCTGTGTGTGTGTGTGTGTGTGTGTGTGTGTGTGTGTGTGAGTGTGTGTGTGAGTGTGTGCGTGAGTGTGTCCCTGAAGGAAAAGCAAAACGGGGTTAGTGGGAGTAGGAGGGGTAGAGCAAAGGCAGAGATGACGGAAAGCAATAAGGAAGTGCTATTTCTAGACTTCAATATTGCAAAGAATATGTGCCCGTTCGTCTATACAAAGCATGCTGCAGCTTTTAGAGTGATGTCCCGGATTAGAGCTCAGATTTGCCTTGGAGAGCAACAGAGCCGCACGAGAAAAGAAAGAAAAAGGTCCGTTGTGGTTACTTGTTACTCTGAGTCTCATTCTCTCTCACACACAGTGAGTGACTCACTACCACTACAACACTATAGCCGCGGGTACCCGCGTGGTCGAACCTGACCTTGAGTACTGCCTCCGCCTTCTGCGTCTCGCCGGCAGGCGGCCCCCGTCTGCTCTCCGAATCTCTCCCCCCCCCCCCTCCGGTCCCTTCTGCCTCGCATCCTTGGCTCCCACGGCTCGAGCCCCGCCCCAGTCCCAAGTTGCCATGGTCATCAAAGCGAGCAAGCATAGCCAGGGCTCTCCCAATGATTAGTTCATCAACAGAAGCCCCGAGCAGATAAACCTATGAGAAGCAGAAGCAGATTTATTCACGCACGGAAAAAAATGAATTGGTCGTCAGAACTAAATATTAGTTAATTTCGGGACAATCGATCAAAAAATTGTTGAGGTAACTAATAATTTGTTTTCAGAACCAAGATTAAGTTGTCAGAACAAGCTGTTCGGTGCTTGAGCTAACGCATTCGTTCTAAAAACAAACCACGAATTGGCTCCTGCAGAAAACGTGCTTGGTTTTAGCGACCAACTCTTGGCTCTGGCAACTTAATCTTGGTCCTGACAAGAAATCATGAGTTACCTCAACAATTTTTTGATCGATTGTCACGAAATTAACTAATATTTAGTTGTGACGACCAATTCATTTTTTTCCGTGCGGCGCAAACAACAAGAGAGCATCCGCAATCGCCCCACATAGTCCAGCGGGAGCAAAGAGCGCTGGTCAGTGATTAAACTGTTTTTTTTTTCACAGAAAACCCTTCAGTAATGGTTCTACTTATGCAAACTTGCCACAAAGCGAGGAAAAATAAATGTAAAATGGTCAGTTTTGATAAGGGAAAATTTAAATGTCCAATGTAAATTATTTGTACCAGATCAGATTGAGTGAACGCAAGAGAATTGTCACAATTATTCACTGGTACAATTTAATCCCCACAAGTTTAGTGCAGTGCTACGAAAACGGGGGGAGGGGGGACATTGTTCCACGTCGTTTACAGAGTATTTTCTTCACCCACCATCAAACAATTCGTCTACATTTATTTCTCCTGGACGCTGCGGAAAACTTTCTGCTGACGACCGTGTATTCACTGTCCCTCCCCCGATCCAGAATCAGCTCTCTGCCTTCAGCGGTCGGGCCTGTCGGGCCGGCCCCTTTCGAGGCTGCCTCCGGAAGCATATCGCCCCATGGGCGGTGTGAGGCGCGGCTCATATTCGAAGGCAGTCCATTTCTGTAGTGCCCCTCGGGGCTCAGAGGGTGGCCTAGTGGGGTCGACAATCATGGCAGACCCGGGACGGAGTCGAACACTAAGGGCGGCGGGAGGGGGGAGAGGGGAGGGGCGGCGCAACAGAACCGGATATGACCGGATAAAACCTACAGGACACCTCCCGGATATGAAGCAGGCTGGGGATCTGCTGTCACTTCCGGTGTCGCCCGCACCCCGTGCAAGAGTCCAGCATTTCCCGAGGATGGTCTAGCTCTCTGTCTCTCTGGCCGTGAAGCTCTCGAGCCCCCTGTCTTTCGCCCCGGACACGGAGGACACAAGCCGCACTCCACAGAGATAACAGACCACTTCCCGAGCTTTCGAGCGGAACCAACTCAACTGTTATCTCATGCAAATTGGACCGGTCGCCACATGCGCGATAAGCGACCGATTCTTTTCCGCGAAGGGCGCGACGGAAGTGCGGAGCGGAGGGCGCCCCGGAGGAGACCGCGGGAAGAGATAGCGGAACTGGAAGTCGAGCGGGAGGCTTTGCGGGCAGAAAAATGTCGGAATTTCATTATGTTCAGCTTAGGAGGAGGAGGAATGGCGGCTTTCATCGGCGGTAGCTCAATTATTCGCAACTGTGCCTTTCTTGCATCCTTTGCCATTTTCGTCCATTTTATCTCTCTCTATCCTTACGATTTTTCTTTTTGATGTCCCTATCCTGTTTACACCACGAAAACCCCAAGTCGTGGGAATGTCGCACACTTGTAGGTGTGTGAACGCCAGTCGTGCACGTTGCACGTACGGGTGAGTGAATACAGTGAATACTTTAGGAAAGTTCACACCTTCACACCTTTAAACCCCTTGAGTGCGAACGAATAGGCATCCACACACTCACTCACTTGTGCGACGTTCACGCACTTGCGTTTCCAGCGTGCGTACGCCCTGCTGGCCCTCCTCCTTCGCGGCAGGACTTTTTATCACCCGACCGCAGCCGTCCGCTTCGCCCGTCCGTTTAGCGGTGGGGTCTGACCTTCCTCAATGCCAAGCCAGCGCCAGCGCAGCCGCCGGTCGGTGGTACCGGCCCCGGCGTACTGTACCGGACTGTACCTACGTGTATTCAGGGCGCGGATTAAGACAGGGCAGGCAGGGGGTGGTGGTGGTGGTCCGCGCCAGTCGCACTGCGTACGTGACAGGGGGGTTTACTATGTCAACTCGAATGAATTACATCGTCTAGATTACAGAAAGTAGACGTGACATGCACACTAAAGGGCAATTTGGCAGTTCAAAAAAAATGTCCACACGGGATGACTCTTTTCCTTACGGTGTGCATTTGAATTTGATAGAGTACATACGTGTTTAGGGTGGTGATAAAGCAGACGAAAGGCAGTAGTAGTATGTAACATTCTATCTTTTCGGAAAAGGTTTTTTTTTTTAACTTTACCTTCGCAATATTTTCCTATTATAAGTTTTTAGTCGTGGAAAGTTAGCCGTCGGGCTCGGCGTTAAACTTAAGTTACGGGCTTGGGGCTCACCTCTCGCTCCGTGCTGCTCGTTCTCCATGGCCGGGTGGGATTCATGGCCTGGAACAGCGCCTCGCTGAAGCCGCCTCCAGCACCTCCAGTCCACAGCAGCTCATAGCCGCCTCAAGTCCTCGGTGACGTCGGAGGCGATTCTTGCGAGTAATCCTTTTCTTGCGTGTCACTACTCTTCGGTCTTCACTTTTTGCTTTCTACTGGCTAGGTACTTTCAAGTGAGAATAGTGTCGACCAGCAACACAGCACCATTGGAATAAGTCTTTATTTCTTTACAATTGTTTTTAAGTGATAACTAACGGAATGGAAGCACACGTTCCGACACAAGTCCACCAGACTTAACGTTTAGTAATTGCACTTGAAACTTCCCTGACACCCTCACTTTGCACACAGGAAGATCGAATAGGTTACAGATTTTGATATCATAGGCTACAGCCGTGTCAAAAGTATTAATTGACTAAGGAATCAGTTAAGCGAGTCGACGAAAGAGCGTTGAAAATAGCGCAAAAACACTAGGAACGAGATAATAAGTAGAAAATTGGAATGACTTCAATGAGGGAAGAATAATTGAGGAGGAGAAAACCACGTAAGTATTGGAAGATTTCAAAACACGAAACGTCGGCAGCTGATCGGAGCGACGAGCGGGAGCGGGCGTTGAAACAGCCGCTCGCGTTGACACCACTTGCCCGAGTGAGTGACTTCGACTCACACACACGGGACTGGTGAGGTTATGTTGACACTCGTGCGGGCTGCGGGCGCGGGCTGGCCACCCCTCTCTCTCTCTACACACTAGGGACGGACCGGTTCCACACTGTCTCTGTCTCTCGCTCACTCGCATGCCCACGCCCTACCCATTCGCTCTCTTGTCCGGCGGCGCGGCGGGCTCGCGGGGCCGTGCCTAGCACATGTCGCGGGCGATGCCTGCCCCTGGTGGGTAGGCAGCCAGCACAGGATCACGGCGGGGCGCGGGGGCCCGCTTGCACTCCGCCCGACAGGCAGGCCGGCACTGTCGACTCGACTCGACTCGACTCGTCCCGCGACCCACGGCGCCTGGCGCGGCCGGCGCGACTCGACGCCCCCTCGACAACGAACGAACGGGGCACCCAGCGCGGGGTAGCGACAGCGCGCTCCACCGGGGATACCCCGAACCGTGGCATCGATACTCCTGGCTCGCATTTACTCTCACACCGTCATACACCATACACCGCAGTCACAACAAACAATGGCAACCGCTCGAGAAATCCTCACGATTCAGTTGGGGCACTATTCCAACTTTGTTGGAACTCACTGGTGGAACTCACAGGTAATTTTCGTGCCACCGATTTGTTATGGGTTCAGTCTTGTCTCGCACTGGTTTCGTCACGACGTTCGTACCAAAAGAAGATGACATGTTAACCTAACTCGTGCATGTGCCTTTCGCCTACCCCTATTATTCTGTACTTTCCTAACAGGAAGCTGGATTTAACTACTCTGGAAAACCTTCAGATATAAATCATGATATATTATTCAGAGAAGGCATCAACTCTCAGGTAGATATCTATGACGTTATTGCCTTCTCACTTGAACCTTACAACTTTTTGTTGATTTTAAGAACTTACCATTTTTTTTATCAATATTGCTTATTTCCTCCATGTGTCTCAGAACCAGGTCACCTTTACTCCTCGTTTGCTGCTTGTGGATCTAAAGGGAAGTCTCCAACATCTGCGGATTCAAGGAGAACTCTACGATGTACCCGTTCCTGATGTCAATGAAGCTCCATGGCCGACAGATAAAGTGCAAGTGGAAGTTTCTCCTGAAAAGGAAGAGAAAAATGAATTCCTGAAAGATGTTGAGACTGGTAATGCAAGTTCTGCAGGAGGTATGTCACAATTTTGTTTTTTTCTGCATTACATTGGTAGTATATGTATCAAATCTTCATAGAAAAATAACTTCATTCTTTAAGGTGGAGATGGCACTCCTAAACCCGCTAAAGTTTATAATTTAGACAATGATGTGAAAACCTGGAGCAACTTTCTAGTATCTCGATTTCATCCACGCACTGTGTTAGTATCAAATGAATATGAGCACAATTCAGAACAGCAACCATTTGATATCTATAACTATGGAACAAATTTATTTAAAAATCGAGACTTTGAGGAAGACCTGACTGATCGTATTCGTAACTATATGGAGGAATGTGATAATGCACAAGTAAGTTTCATTTGCTCTTAAAGTCAGTTATTCTTGACCATAATGTGGATTAACTTTGATAGTTTTGTTAACAAATGTATGAATAACTGATGTGTTCTTTTAGGGCTTCCAAATTCTTTATGATGGTACAGATGGATTTGGAGGTATTGCCAGTAGTCTGTCAGAGTTCTTGGCAGATGAATATCGTAACAAAAGTATTCTTGCTGTACCTCTCATTTCTCCAATTGGAGACATAACACCTTTACAAGAGTGTGTAAGGACAGTTAACTTTGCACTTAGCTTGCAAAAAGTTTCTGAGCTAGTGTCATTTGTTGTTCCTCTTGGGACAGACAGTACAAACTGGAGAAGTGCAGGTGCACCTCGTACTTTCCCTCACCTTCAATATAATGTGAGTTCCATGCTTGTGGGCTTATTATTTTAAATGAAATGATTTT